TATCGCAAAAAATAATATAGTGGCCATTAGAGTTCTGATTATTGTTCCCACAAGGACTAGATTTTAATACTTAATTTACTATTTCTAACTACTATCTAACGCAAACAAACAAAAGCCATAATTTGTTGTGATTTTTAATCTAACTACTTGAAAATAAATGGATGCACACAAAGATCAATTTAGTGTTTCTTACTAATTCATGACTGTCCTAGCTAGTGTCATAGTCAACATAATTATTAGATCTTTGCTTAAAAGAATAATGTTTTCTTGGAAAATCACATTTCTTGATTTGAAAACTCTTCTTGTTTCTAAATCCATCAGTTTGTGCCCCTTGATTCCAAAAGGATATCCCAAGAATATGCATTTTTTGTCTCTAAAATCAAACTTGTGTCTCCCATTTACCAAAGTGGTGGCAGAGGCAAGACATCCAAAGACCTTGAGGTTGGCAAAGGCAAGACATCCAAAGAACTTGAGGTGATCATATTTTGGTTTGGACCGAAAGAGTACTTCAAAATGGGCCTTCTGATCCAACAGAGCCTATAGGGGAGTGAGGGTTCTATTTATGGGGTATATCATAGTGAAAACACAGTCACTCAAAAATCTCAAGGGTATTCCACTTTGAAATATCATAGCTCTCACCACATTCAATATTTGTTGGTGTTTCCTTTCAACAATAGCATTTTGTTGTGGGGTTTCTTGCATGTTCTTTGATGAATGATTCCCCTTTTAATGTAAAACTGTTTCATTTCAAATTCTCCACCATTGTCAGGCCTGATAGTTTTAATTTTAGTTTCGAATTGTGTTTCAATCCTTAAACAAAAACTTTATAAACTAGTGCTAGCATCTGATTTCTCTTCAATACATATACCCAAGAACATCTACTGAAGTCATCTCCTATAGTTAAGAAATATCGAAAACCACCATAACTAATCTCGTTACATGGTCTCCATAGATCACAATTCACGAAATCAAAGTACTTTTCTAATTTATGTTGATTAAGATAGAATGGTAACTTCTGCAGCTTAGCTAGAGGACATATCAAACATGTGCCTTTTGTAACTTTGGGAATATGATTTGGAAGTCCTATCTCGAAATAACTAGAGTGTCCTAACCTAGAGTGCCAAAGATTGAAGTATTCAACATCATTAGAAAACAGTGGAAGTTGACATGGGCATCTTGTGGGTTGTTCGAGCTAATTTTTCTATAGAGGCATGTGGTGAAACTTCTTGCAGTAGATGGTGATACAAGCCCTGCTTAACTTTACCCATTCCAGCGTAGATTAGAGAAAAAATAGACAAGAGTTCATGCTTTGTGCTATTTTCCTAGCTAATACAAGATTGAAACACAAAGCACATGATTAAGAATTAAGGACTCTGAAAATTTGACTATCCCAATATGGGTGACTAGAACAATTTCACCATTAGGAAAGCAATTGAGTAAGAGATCTCAGCTTTAATTTTAGAAAAATAAGATGCACAACAGATATGTGATCCGTTGCCCTTGTGTCTAAGATCCAAGGAACAATAGAATAGTTAGATAAATTGGTGCTGTGAGCAGAAAAGCATAGGGATATACTAGAGACTTTTAGCATGCCACCATCATTGGAATATGATAGAATGATGAAGTGAGCTTGATATGGTAATGGTGTGTAAGTTAGAGAACTTTGTGGTTTTAACAGAGCCATAAGCTAAATGTATTGCTCTTATGTTAAAGGCATTTGGGTCTTATCACTTACCTGCTCCTATCATGTGCACAAGTGTAGTGGTTTGATTGACAAATGATGTTGTGGACTTATTACGATTTTCTAGATTTATTGCCTAGTGAGTGGCCCTGCAACTTTTAACATTTATCCATGAAATTGCCTAGCAATTGGTAGAAAGCACATGTTGACTTGTTTGGATTGGCCTTGAAACACCTCTAAACGAAATGACCAGCCGTTCTGCAATGAGTACAATAATACTTGTCCCTCTTTTATCTTAATGAGCTTTTTGCTCCATCCTTAAAACTTCCTTTCGCTAGAAGTGCCATGGAATCAGTCACAGCACTATCAGAAGAAATTTGCCTTCTCTTTTCTTCTTGCTGTACTACTGCGTATACTTTATTTAGACTTGGGAAAGGTTTAATCAAAAGAATCTGGGCCTTAGGAGCCTTGTAAGAATAATTGAGCCCCATCAAAAATTTCATGACCCAATCTCTTTGTTGGTTACCGATTACAGACTTTAAACTGTTAAGTAGTAAACTTGATTTTTGGACTAAATAATATGGGTTTAAGGATTTTGCTTATAGGCTCAAATCAATTAAAAGGCCCAACAT